CATACATACGCCGTTTGATGCACAATCGCCGACAGCAACTAGTGGAAGACTGGTGGAATAAGTCGGGTCCGGACAGATATCGCGACCTGGACTTACAGATGCGACGTCGGAAACCACCAGAACTAGGTCTTTCTCGAAGATTACTCCATAAGCTCCTGGTAGCAAGATTAGGACATGGAGACTTTGCAGATTATCACCGCCGCCTGAACCACGAAGACGCGAAACTGGAATGCGTCTGTGGACAAAGGACAACGCCAACTCATTTTGTCCGATGCAGGAAGAATGATGCTATAATGCGCAGATTGAGAAGATCTATGACCGTGGAGGACTTTACCAACCAACTCCTTGGACCAGAGGGTCTCGAGGAGTTCATAGAATTTGCAAGGAATACCGGCTGCTTTGGGAGCATGAATGCTGACCCGCCCTCAGCTTGATGCGAGGGCCGGAGTGATTAATTTGTCAGGACAAGAGAAATGACCGAGGGGGGCATAAGATGAGAAATACTAGCACCGCTCCTACATGTTAATTTGCTTTATTTCTGTTGGTTTTGTTTGCTATTTCTTTTGGTTTTTGGTTGTTTGTAATCAGAGTCACATAGTGACAGTGTGGTGAGAACGAGTAGGGCATAGCTATTTAGCATAATCCTTACCGAGCCCACCAGTCCCGTGCCATAAGGCGCTGGGCTGGTGCCTGGGACCTCAAAATAAATCAATCAATCTATTCTTGCCACCTGTCAGTGGTGTCCCCCACGAACCTCCAGCTCTCACTGTAGAGTCTATAGAACCGAGATTGAGTAACAAAGTCTTCACTTCGACGAGGATTCCCAATCACTTTCGCAGTCTGTATCGTCTTCATCTCTCAACACCTCCCCCTATCACCATTATCATGAAGCTAACCACGATCAGATTAGATGGTAGGGTCGAAGCCCTACTAATCACCAACCCTTGATTACGGAGGAAAAGCCATCCGATGAGTTTCCGGAGCATACCCAGCACCCGATACAGAGATGGCGGATTGGATCAAGTTGGCCTCGACTTTCACAAAGAAGGGAGATATAGATGAATATGCGCATCTCATGCGGACCCGATGCCTAGGCCTCGCCTGGCTGGGGCTGCAGGTTTTTTGAGACTTTTTCCCGCGCACGCAGTTTTCATTGCTAACATTTAATTTTTTTGGGTAGGAGTTTCCGTTGAAGAGATGGACGAATTCCACTGGTAAATACTGAGCTGAATGGCTATTCATCACGGGTAATATATCAACAATCTTTCAAGTAGGAAAAGAGGATAGGAGCGCTGTACAAGGTGTGGCCTGGGTTAGAGAGGAGCCCAATGTGCTAGATAGTCATAGACTCAAGTAGTACAATAAACACACACACCCACAATACAATTTTTCCTGGGCTTAACTCGTATTTACACAGAAGAAAATTACCCGGAGTATGAAGTCCAGGTTGTCCATGTGGCTACCAATCACAGAACCCAAAGCATATGATTATGTCCTGCCGCCAATGGTCAAATGGTAGAGCTGAGATCTGGAGACAAGACAAAGATCGATCCTACGAAGCGATGATAAACAATCCTGGAGATATAAAAAGGATAACACAGTGAATCCTAAACCTTGGTTGGATAGAGCAATTCTAGATGACCAAGGCGGTCGAAATGCTGCTGAGGGAAAGGAAGAGGTCAAATAATGCTTAGGTTGGGAAGAGATGATCTGGTTGGTTTACATGGATGGCACTATAGTGTAATTGCGCTTCCTGAAGTAAATATGGAAAACTAAAGACAATAAGATAAGATAAGAATTTTATTATAGTCCCTTCTGAGTCTAAGACTATGAAAGACTTCCAGAATCTACCATTAAAATTCTGGCTATTATTTCAATGTTAAAATTAATTTATTTAATGTGTTCCAATAGATGTTGAGGGTCATGCCCTGACGAAAGGCAATAAATAGAATGGTGTGGGGGATTATCACCATAGAGGTTTCCCTCTGGGTACATATTATAGACTGTGGACACCTGTATGGGCCCATAGGGCGCCAAATCAGGATAATGAAATCAAATTCAAATTCAAATTTTCTCATTTGATCTATCAACCCCAGTCCTCTAAAGTGATATATCGCAAGAGTCTCACAACTCTTATCGCACTTCCCAAATAACTCTGTCATTTTCACAATTGATACGTTGATACCCTGCATAATCTTAGTTTTGTACCGTTACTGCCGCAACCTTGACCTAAAAGTCCGATTAATCGATTGAAAGATTGAAACTGAGGCTCCGATGCCTCGACCTCTGTAAATTTCTGAGGTTGAGATGCCAACGAATTCTTTTACATATTCGTCAGTGGCGACTTGATGTGGGCCGAGATCTAGACGCTTATAATGCCGTTAGCTGGATTGTACCTCCACGACGCGTTGCATTTGCAGAGTGTTAGACGTCCTTTTGTTTTTTAAATTTTGACAATGACTTTTGTATTTATTCAATAGGTGATAAGACGATAAAAGAGAAGGTTTAGAGTCAATTTAACCTGACAAAATTCTTCCAGAAAAACGATGAAGGTAGAGAGCGTCAGTTGCTTTAATATAGACATCACACAGATTTGAACCCATGTGCGTTTAGTATTAGAGCATTAGATGACACTTGTCATTAATTTTCCAGGCGTAAACCCTCCATAGAAGGGGACGAATATTCAACACGTCTCAGCGATTTCCCCTACAAATCTCCAGCCCTCATTATAGTTTCTGCAGAGCCGAGATTTTTTAACACCTTCGTCTTCACTTCGATTAGGATTTCCAAAAGCTTTCGTGGTCTATATTACCTTCATCTATCACCACAATAATGAATCTAAATAAGATCAGATCAAATGGTAGGGTCAAATCCCTAGTTATCGTTCACTCAATTCTCTTGGTCATGAAGGATAACCCATTCAATGATTTTTCAAAGCAAACCTAGCTCCTAATGTGGAGACAGTGGACTAGATGAAGTTTTTCTCACGCCTCACAAAAAAGAGATATAGATAGATGTAGGCATCTTACGTGGCTCCGATGTTTAAACCCCGCTTTGTTGGGGCTGCAGCTATTTTGAAAAATTCTCCGCACACGCAGTTTTATTGCTCTTTTATATTTTATAAATATTTTAGTAAATGGCTCTGAGGAACGGAGGTCGAATTCTGTAAGTAATTCTTGAGCAATCTACTAATCATGGGCATTATATCAGAGTTATCTGTAAGTTGAAAAATATGTCAGGAACACTTTAAAAGGCGCAGCCTGGGTCCGAGAGGAGCCCATTAAAAAAAACATACAGATTCTCTTGTATTCAAGTCCTGTTGCGACTAGATCTTGTCTCTAAGGAAATATTCTACACCGCTATTTGTTGAGGAAACCATGTATTATTATACAGCTTCCAAAGCTCTAGATTTTGGAATGATACTGAAGAGTCGGAAAAGGATCTTAGGTGGTATAAGGCTCCAATTAAGGTTTAGATCATAGTTTACTTTTTATCCTCTTTATATAAGCCATGGATAGAGTTAGGCCCATAAGTGGTTTTTCTTCAGATAAGAGCTAATTATACTAGCTAATTTTTGCATACATGGGAATCTTGATGGAAGACATTCCCTTGGGTGGGTATTCACGGATAAGGGTTGACTATGGGTGAAGAAAAAGCCACCATAACTTCGCAGTGGTACTTGCAAATAAAATCCGAGGCATGAGTGCTCTATTTTTAAATTGAGTCATCTGTTATACACTTCTCTGATATTGTGTCATAGCTAGATAGCTGCATACGCAGTTAAAATCTGATGCAAAAAAAACCTTAATGGTCAAATTTCCGATTAAAAATTGATCGAGAATTCTGCCTACGATGAATATCTCTTTAAAAATAATTATCCCTCCTTTTTCCGCAACTGGACCGTGGCCCCGAGTAAATTTTCCCTCATGAATCTCATGGGAGATCTTGCTGCTTAACTCTCGGCCCTTAAATTCCTACTCGATCGCTTGGTTTGGCAAGGTGTGTAAATATTTCCGACACTGATAGAATTTAGACAAATTAAGGCTGTCAAGTAGGCTTCATTGTTTGTACACACGTGACTTCAAATTCTGTAGTTAGTTTCACTTTGGCAGTAACTTGAATCAGTGCTCTTTACAACCTCAATGACTGAGGTTTCTTTATTTCCTCAATAGACACTAGTATTTAGGCGTCAAAGATAGGTAAACGATAATTTTAGAATAGTCTCAGTTGGACATTAAGCATAGAGAAAACATTATTTTCAGATATACGCCATACGCTTAATAAGTTTAAAATTTTTAAGAAATTAAAATTATTTCTGTGCTGGGCTATCAGAGCGTCTTGAAAGAGGTTACTGTAGCGTCAATCTCGGATTTTGGGCGTGTGAGCCATAAAATCAAGAGACGTTCATTATTAGCACTTCAACCAAGAAAATTGCGAGTGAGAAATATCCGATGAAACCTCGTGTGCTCGGCTCTGGATAGACTTTTGTGATTATCGTTACTTTTGAATATCTACATATTTAGTATTTCTTGTTGGAAAGCGATAGAATAGACAAATTAGACACCATCAGTATATATGAATCAGATCTTCTCTCCTATGTCTCTGACTGTAACCTAATCCATCATAGGTCAATTTCTGATTGTAACTGCACGGACTGTCAAAGGAAACTTATCAGTCTGGATTGAGTCATTTCCCAACGTACAAGTGTCCGTATGATCACCAAAGGTCATGTGATATTTGTAGAGGAAGTAGAGCAGCCCAACTCGTCAACGCGACGAACTACCAACTCTGCCTATAATCTCTATATTAGTTAAATTAATTTGAATCTCAACTATAGATGTGATGATCTAAACGCATAAAATTTGAAAATACTTCAAACTCACGACTCGGGTAAATCAACCATTTGCTTGCTGGGAAGGATCAACAAGGGAAAAAGGTGTGTTGCGAAGCACCAGATTCGGGACCGAACATTGATTGTTTTTATTTGAGGATGATATTTTATGGACGTAGGTACATCTTCTTGAGCATAATTATTCGAGAATCTGGGTATCTAGGGGCATTTTAAACCTCACCCGGGCACAATAGACGCTGGCGAGTTCCATGCCCCTCCATTAGACTCAAAGCCTAAGAACGCCGAATCAATTCAGGTCCAGCTTGGTCCTTCGCATTAAACCGGGTAAAAACTACCACTTCATGGAGATCTTGTCTGTTTTCATTTTGTTTCACTTCGCTATCTAAAGGGTCCTCCCAAATCTTAATTTATCTGCTGACGAATCTTGAGAACCTAAGATCAACTTTATTTATTAGTATTCCTCGTTATTATCGCAACGTCTCTTCCGCTCGTATAGTCTGCTGCATCTCGAAGACTGAGTTTCGTGCGCTTAAGGACTCATTCCAGTTCCAACATAGAAGAGTATATCCTAAAAGCTATACACCATTGTATTTAAATGAGTTGCACCTTAATCATTCTGAATCCCCCCTTCGCAAACAATTACATCAACCTGACCCCACCAAAATGAATAGCTCTCAAGTCAGGCAAGCGGCAATTCATAAAGCTAAACAAGCTGCTCATATATCAAATGGAAGTGCAAGCAAAAAGCGAAAGAAGGAAGTTTTGAAGCCAATTATTACGGCTGAGGTACTTCACGATGCTGCAAGTACTTCGACAATTAAGCAAGCATCTGCAGGGTGAGTTGCGAGGTCTTCTAGCCACCCAAGTCACTATTTGGCTCCACATCTCCATGTATCAACCTCCTACATTTTAATTTTGCGCCAATTTGACCCTACGCCATCTTGTGAAAGCATGAAATTAAAATTAAATAAATTGCTATGTCTACGATGATCAATAATTTACTGACCGCTGACATTATTGGCCACAGAACGCAAGCTCCTAACTCCAACAAAGCTTCTCCTAACAACCGAACGCCGTCGAACTCCTCGCGCGAAGAAACTGCGCAAACGACAGCTGATGAAGAAGATTCCGAAGATTATTGTAAGGGAGGATATCACCCAGTTACAATTGGTGAACAGTTCAAAGATGGAAAATACACGGTGGTGCGAAAGTTAGGATGGGGTCATTTTTCCACAGTTTGGCTTTCGCGAGATGAAGCGACCGGTAAGCATGTTGCACTGAAGGTTGTTCGTTCGGCAGCACATTACACCGAGACGGCTCTAGATGAGATCAAATTGCTTAACAAAATCGTCGCAGCAAATCATGATCATCCTGGTAGGAAACATGTTGTGAGCTTACTGGATTCATTTGAGCACAAGGGTCCCAATGGAATACATGTCTGCATGGTATTTGAAGTTCTAGGCGAAAACTTATTAGGGCTTATCAAGCGCTGGAATCACCGTGGAATACCACTACCCTTGGTTAAACAAATTACGAAACAAGTACTTCTTGGCCTAGATTATTTACATCGCGAATGCGGAATTATCCACACAGATCTGAAGCCCGAGAATGTGTTAATAGAAATAGGAGACGTAGAGCAGATTGTCAAAACTTTTGTCAAAGAAGATTTACAAGAGAAAGAAGACAATCCAAATGGTCGGAGACGAAGACGGACGTTGATAACTGGCAGCCAGCCCCTACCAAGCCCCTTGAACTCCAGCTTTAATCAAATAGATCTGTTACGGTTTCCAGGAATCTCACCTACCTCCCTCAATCAGGTCATGAACGAAGGTATTGAAAATTCTAAAGAATCCTTCTCTTTGGATAAAGTTGTAATGAGCATTCCAGTAGATTTAGCTATTGATCCATCCCTCAGTAATGAGGTGGCGGATGAAGAGAAGCACAATCAGAGAGAAAAGACCGCGTATGCTCCTAGATGATAATAGATTGACGTAAGCTAAATATCACAGTGAAATTCTGAGTCGACAGGTTGGCGATATTTCTCTTGACAAGCCTTCCAACGAAAAAAGACCGAGTGACGCAAGTGGCTTTGAAACAATATCTGTCAAAATAGCCGATTTGGGGAATGCTTGCTGGACTAATCACCACTTTACAGATGACATTCAGACACGCCAATATCGCTCGCCAGAGGTTATTCTAGGTGCAAGATGGGGAGCGAGTACTGATGTATGGAGTATGGCTGCCATGGTAAATGTTTGTTCCATGTCATGGCTTCTCACTAACGGGTTGCAGGTTTTTGAATTAATAACGGGCGATTACCTCTTTGATCCCCAGTCTGGTACTAAATATGGCAAAGATGATGATCATATTGCACAGATTATCGAGCTTTTGGGATCATTCCCTAAATCACTTTGCTTGTCAGGTAAATGGTCACAGGAAATCTTCACACGCAAAGGCGACCTTCGGAATATTCACCGTCTACGGCATTGGGCTTTACCTGATGTTCTGCGGGAAAAGTACCACTTTAAGGAAGATGCTGCCAAGAAGGTAGCTGGTTTTCTGCTACCTATGCTTGAGCTAGTCCCGGAAAAAAGGGCAAACGCTGGTGGAATGGCTGCCCACATATGGTTAGAAGATACAATAGGCATGAAAGGCATAGAGATTGAGGGTCTAGGTGTTGGTAGTAAAGGCGAAGGCATTGATGGTTGGTCTAGCGAAGTCAAGAGGGCACGATAAGAGGATTTGGAGAATTTTCTACGCTGTTTAGAATACGCATGAATGACATCAGTGGGGTTGACGACTTTATGAGTATGAGTGACGGGTTAAATGAACGCCATTCAAACTATCACACCAATCTTGCGTCTCAATACCGGTGCTTAAATCCGTGCTCAGAGGATATCTGTTCTTCTCTACTCCGAGGTGCTGCATAGTTGCAATTTCTTAATTGACACGCAGCCTTCAGACATAACGTTTTTCGTAATACATGAAACCCAACCACACGATTCCGGCATCCATCCCTGCTAGAAGTATCTTATTGGAGTCTAGCCATCTCAAAGGCATCCGCCGCTAGACCCCTGAAAATACGTTAACAAATGGGTACTGTCATTGGCTAGAGGCGGACACGCACCGCTGCAAAACGGCGTGTGCTTTGGTCAGGTGACTATATCTGTGGGTCACAGGCGGTGTATCAATATTTGATCGTTCATTTCAGTAAGATGTTGTTCTAAGGGTAAAGAACGTTACATGCCCTCTTACCGCCATTTGTGTGTTAAGCGATTTTGATAGGCTTATTCGTATCTATCCATCATGATGAGCATTTAAGTGTTAATGTTACACGTCGAGGATATGAGTGACGGACATGATTCATCAGTCCCCATGAGCCAAATACCGCGCTTCTATTAGCAATTCATATGAATTTCGAGGTCAGAAGTTTTAATCTCTGTATCAGCATTAGTTAGGGATAAATGAATAAATAGGAAAAAATGATCATATTTCCTGTCAATATTGTGAGTGTTTTTTTGTATATTGTTTTCCTTTACAACTCTAAAACCATGCAGGACACATAGGTGCTCTGTGCCTGCAGGCCAAGGATATCTTTGCCTCGAGTACTGTAGTCCTTCCTTTGCTACCTCTACAGTCACCTTAAGAATTCCTTCGCCAGGAATTCAGATGCACCATGAATATGTTAGTTAACACACATGCCCTTACTATTTGATTGATACTACATTTGGTTCTTTTTTTCGCCTTCCTTCATTAACCGTACTACCTGGGTCCTTGTCTTGATGTGGAGTGATACCATGCACTATGTCGTTGTATTGGGGTATCTACTCTGATACTTCATGCCACCATATTTTTCAGACTAGGTCAGGGTGCATAGAATTGCCGTGAAATGAATTGTTTACCCTGGGAGTTTGGTGATGCACTACAGGCTCCATGTTCTTCGAGAACTCCGCGGGCTGTGCAAGCTTTTCGCTAATATTTCACATGGGAGTGGGGGACCGGGCCGGCCATTACACGCCTGACTCGCCTGACTCGCCTGCCATACGCGAGATCAACGTTTAAAATCCGAGCCGTTGTTTAACAAAAATCCCCAACCGGATGAGAACACGATCGTAGAATCCGATCATCAATGCGTCACAATCGACCCTGAACTATCACGAAAAGGTTATCTCGTCAGCCAGCTTTCCCGTACTGCCTGTCGGTCGCGTCCTGCTAGGGTCGTGGGATCGTCGAGCGTCACTGGTAAAATTTCTAGAAGCGGCTGTATGTGCCATTGCTGTCTCATTGTCGCCGTCCATCCCATGACATTGGGCTTTGTATACCTGATAGACGGACGAGAAGATAGAAAAATATCGCCAGAAGAGCCAGTGCAGTACCCACTCGCACCTGTACGCGGTGTCCTCTACGAACCTGGGAGAGAAATATTCTCCCAGAGCCAAGTTCAGTCAAACTTCGCAATACCGAACAAGTTGGCCCACGAGGCAATGATTCAAATTACTCCACCATATCAATCTTTCACTCCCAACGAAATCGATTCCTACCTAAACCTCATCAAGTTTACAAGTACGACCTAGTACATCCTAATCCCAATGACCACACCTCTTGTCGACTTTCTCTGGCCTTAGCTGGTCGCCAGATACACGCCCACGCCGATATTTATACCCGACGGAGGAAGCAAAGCGTGGCGCACAAATCTGGAAGACAATTCCTTGGGATGGATGTGAGAGGGATCAGGACAAGATAATAAGATGATGCAGAGGATTGGATACAGTCTCGACGGGCGTGGAATTTTGAATTTTGGAAAGGAGTTTTTACAAATTGAGCTTTGTGCGTGCCAAGACTCCGGTTGCGAGAGTGCAGGCGACACTATAAACACCGCCATGGTTGGATGGTGCGGTGGTACATCGTCTTGGCCGGTCTGCCAAGTAGAGTCTGGATAGCTTGGACACATATCCCACTTGAGACAGTAGATCGCTGGTTCGAATCCGGCAAAACACAACCACATTTCTCGCGGCGCTGGTATGCATGGATGACGAAGGCATGCTTGGATAACCAAAGGTTTTTAAATTCCCTTTGGTGGGTACTAACGGAGGAGGGTCGACTGTTTGTGTAAGCAAACATACCTCATAGTGGTATTTGCAAATGAAATCCAGAGTATGAGTGTCTCTAACGTCAAAAGAGTCATCCCACATGTATAAATAGCGCCGGTCATGTGTCATAGCTAGATAGCTGAATACACATTAAATGATTTTAAAAAAAAAAAAAAAAAAAAAAGTACCCACTCGACTTTTTATAGACTTACTCGTTTTATACCAGTCTGATTCCCAACGATATCTCTAACTAATGACTGATAGAGGAATGCTTTAGACACAGATTGATGAGGCTCGTAAGTACACTTGTTTAAGAGGACCTGAAATTCATGACTTCCAACTTTTCCTTCGGGAGTCGTCGTACAATGATGCTCTAGTCTTGTATTTTTAGATTCATATCTTAGTTTGACAGAAGTTGACTCCAGATCACGTTAAGCCAACCATTAATCTTCAGAAGTCCGGAACTTGTAACCAAAAATTAGGGGATCTATTATCGAAATCTCCTATATTTTTTTTATCGATTGAAGTGAGGTATTAATACGTCGAAACTAAGCTACACTAATATTGGGGGACGAGATGGTATACAGACATGGGAAGGAAAGTTATGCCAAGTACCATACACTTCATATGGCATGTTAGTGCAAAAGCCAGATGTGCTACGCTAAATGTGTCGGTACTTAGCTAGTTGTAATCCGCTTTAAGTGAAATGAAAAAAATATCGAGTAAGTGGTAGTGTGAATATTAATAATGGATTCATGTAGTTCATCCTAAGCTCATTCAATCTGGACTATATTGATGAGCTTGCTTAGTTATAATTCTCCGCTTTCTTGCATCTCTTGCCAGCTTTAAATTTTTTTTAATTCATATTGTATTTAGCTATATAGCTATGAAAATTTTTATAAATACTAAAGGCTTTGGCGGAGGGCAAGACTCAACACCTGTACACGATGTCCTCTACGAACTTGGGAGTGAGGGTTGCACTGGGATGAAGAAAAAGCCCCATAACTTCGCAGGGTACTTGCAAATGAAGTCCGAGGCATGAATGCTTTTCTTGTATATTGAGTCACCTTTTCTGTAGTTTCTGATATTTTGTCCTAGGTAGATAGAGTATCGATACCCGTGTACGTAAGGGAGCTCTTATTTTAACAATGATAATAGACTGATTCGAATTGTGGTAGGACAGTAAGTGTAAAGAAAAATGTGGAATGATTTTTTTGGTGGTGAGCGAATGTATTTTCACTATCTTATGATGAACGTATGTGCTTTAAATCAGTATGGCGTAGTGACATTTAACCACTTGGTGCAACGTAATATAGCATGTCCCCCCATCTATGTCATAAAGTCTATCCAAAAAGTCGAAGGTTGAACAGCTGTCAGCACTGACTTCTGGGAACCTCGGAGGGAAGTATTCTCCTAATATCAAATCCAGTCAAATAATGCAATATATGAATGGGAATGTCCTTCACTATCTATGAGAATACAGGTCGAATTGATTGTAAAAAGTACTCTAATGTAGCTAGATTCTATCACATAGATTCCAGAAGTCCCCCACAACCTAACACTGAGATAGGACTATAAAATAAAATACAAAAACAAATCTAAAAAAATACAACATGTCATGGGCTTTGCCCAGATTGGGACTGGTCACTAAGAGCGTTCCGGCTTCAAGGTTAAGTAGCGACAGAGCAGCGTTCCCGGAAATGCGAATGGTGCGCATAAAGAGTTATCGAGGGGGTTATGTACCAGATGGGGAGTAAAGTACAGGAGAAGAGGCGAGCCGAGGTGAAAGGATGATTCCCAAGTGGCCAAGGTGAGGAGTTGAGACTAGTCTACGCAGAGATTGGGGACTACGTGGTAGGTTGTCTTCCCAGGGCAGAAATTATTGATTCCTATCGAGCTATTGTCTTTCAAGTACACCTGAGTTCATTTAACTTTTACATAATACCGGAGAAGTTGGCCCTTTAAATAACTATTTTAATCTTCGTTCATGATAAAACAACGCACAAGAGTGCATGGAATAGGTAATGGATCAAGATAGTCGCTACGCCTACACGATCGGTGGAAGCTATGTATTAGTTGCAAAGGCCGGTTGTGTTTTTTTTTGCTTCAGATTTTAATTGCGTATGCAGCTATCTAGCTATGGCACGATATCAGAGAAGTGCATAATTGATGACTCAATTTACAAGATGTTGGAAGGTCGGTTGTGAACTGTGGTGTTGAGAAATGACGGTAGTGCACGAACCATATTTGTATGAATATAGACTAGCGGTTAGGCACTACCTCCCAATCAGAGTCGTCTAGGCCAGATCACGTTACTATCCAACATATATGGGGTTGGATGGTGCAGTGGTACATCATTCGGGCAGTTCCTTCAAGTAGATTCTGGCTAGCTTGAACACCTACTCCATTTGAGACAGGCGAGAGCCGGTTCGATTCCAGCAAACTACACACACCATTCTCTCCCGTGATGATATTGTTTCTGTGGGATTATGAAAGCACACTCGCACAACCGTAGGTTTTCCACGCTTTTCCATATGGTGAGTATGCACGGAAGAGGTTATACGCCGTAAAGGTCAACCTCGAGTTGTGTTTGCAAATGAAATCTGAGTGAGTGTGAGTGCTCTAAACGTCAAATTGAGTCATCCTACTTAAAGAACATAACTTTCGATAAAAACCTGCATGGGCCTCAAGACGCCAAAGAAGGACAATTGCATGATTTATTTATCCACCATATATTAACAAATCCAAATCCCTCCTGAAGTCTACATCTCGGTTCTTGCACATTGAACCAAAACTGTCTCCAAGTCTCACCCAAGAACATTTCCAGTGCTCATCATTTGTAACAATTACTCAAAACTTTTCGCCAAATCAACCTTTCCCCTGCTATACGGTGCATACAGACTTTAGCGTTCTTAATTCTACGACTATGATCCAGAATATCTTAACTTCAATGGCCAGATCTCTTGTCGAATTATTCTCTGGCCTTAGCTGCCCGATATATACACGTCCACCAGAAGATGAAGGAATATTTTTCAAAACTTCTCAGCAGTGTCCCCTACGAACCTCCAGCTCTCACTGAAGAGTTCGCAGAGCCGAGAGTTTTCAGTCGCTTTCGCGATCTGATATTAGGGTCGAATCCCTTCTCCTCACCAACCCTTGACCATGGAGGAAAAGCTATCCGATGAGTTTCCGGAGACTACCCAGCACCCGACACGGTGATGGTGGATTGGATCAAGTCGGCCTCGACTTTCACAAAGGAGGAAAATATAGATGAATATGCGCACTTCATTTGGTCCCGGTGTCTAGGCCTCGCCTGGCTGAAGCTGCAGGTTTTTTTCCGCGCACGTAGTTTCCATTGCTACCATTTCTATCTTTCATGGATAGAAGGTTCCGTAGAAAAGGTGGCTGAATTCTACGGGTAAACACTAAGCTGAATGGCTATTCATCAAGGGGAATATATCAATGATCTTTCAAGGAATATAAGAGGATAGGAGCACCGTACAAGGTGTGACCTGGGTTAGAGAGGAGCCCAATGTGCTAGATAGTCTATTACTCAAGTAGTACAATAAACCCACACCTCTATTATTTAATTCTGGAATCCATTACTCTCGGGCTTGCCATATTCTCTCAGATGAACAAACGGTACGCACCGAGCTAACGAATGCATGAATCTCTTATGTTGAAGCTAGAACTCAAGGTATGCTAGGTCTGAAATGTTGATTTTACTAGAGCTGAACCTGTTACTGCTCTAACTGATAAGAGAAAATGTGGTCGGGAGATTTCCCCTGTCCAAGTAAACAGGTCAGTATAGTTTTATAAAGCTGATATCGCTATACCGAGACCATGTAGCTAGTTGTTATCCGGGCCATTGCTTGACATTATATCCAGACGCTGAGCTCCCAACCAAACAACGTGAAACGCAAGAAGTCTTCAGCCTAGATTTCCTTCCTTGTTCTCTCGGTGGAGAGCACCAAGGGTAAAATTGGAGCTGTAGAGGTAGCTCCAATTTGTGCAACGTCTGCGTGGTCCAAAGCCCAACAGACAGGCATTAATCGAGGAATCTTGTTTCGTATACGTGATACGGGGTTTACTGATATCAGCATCTAAGATGCATGACAATTGCGAAGTCTTGTGGTAGATGATCAAATGACAATAGAGTCACTTATCGAGGAGCACCCTAACTGCTCATTTCCAATATAGCTGGATAGACTAGGACCAGAGTTCAACCTAACTAATCAACAAGATAGCCTCGTATTACTGTGCGTTAGAGTTTTACCGATAATAGCCAGTTTATCTACATTTATCTTAAATAAAATAAAATGAAATTTTTTGGATTAAGATAGATTTTTTGCATTGCCGTGTATTAATCTTGAAAGCTTTAGATCGACTATTTAGGTTAGCCTGAAGCATCAGGTCAAGTTTACATCAGAGGGGCGGCAGACTGGCCGGCGCGTAGATGGCTTAAGGACCACTACCTATCAAGGATGGTCGGGGTTTGCTAGAAATAGCATGGCTATCTTCTCATAGAGGCTGTCATCAAGCTAAGACTATTTTCAAATTTCCGAGCCAGCAAATTCAAGTGAAACGGAAGATTGAGATCATTATGATGTTATTCGTTTAGCGTGCGATAGGTTCACCTTGTCTAGTTCGAGCCATTTTGCTTAATATACAACGTTTTTAACACCTTGCTTGAATTTTAACGCCCGTAATACCCCTTTCCCCTATTATTTGCATTACTTGTGTAGCTCGAACAAAAGTCCAGAATTTTTGAGTTGGAAATTGAATTTATGATTATTCATCGTTGACAGGTTGGTACAGTTCCATTTCTCTCTCCTTGGAGCTCCTGCCTCGTTCTCTATCTCTTTTACTCGGGCTTCTACTGTGAACTCGTTCTGATCTCCCACGACTAGCACTTCTTTGTCTTGATGGAATATGACTTGTTTCCATGCTTTTGTATGCTTGGCCACTGTAGATATCATAACCTAGCTTTTGCCCGGGTGTTTGATGCATCCATTGCTGAAATCCTTGAGTACTAGGATCAGAATAAAGGTGGGGCTGTGGAGCGAATGAGTTTGATTGAAAGGAAGATTGGTTGTGAGATTTCGAACGATATAGTCCGAAAGCGATATTATTCACTAAGACGGTGGCAGTAATGATGAGGACGATAAAAATCTGTAATGCGTTTATTACTATATGTTTGCTTTCAGCGGAATAAGAGCTTACCATGGCTTTGTAGCTTATTGGCTCTATGAAGCTGTTAAAAATTTGGGCGAACGTGTGTGCGCTTATACGAGCTCTGCCAACACTATTTGGATTTCGATTCATACACAGTTCAAATTCGTTACAAGGTACTTCCATAACAGGTGCTCTGTTCTTACTACTGCAGCCATTTATCACAAAATCCTGAGCACATTTTGATATCTCCGCCAGTGCGAGAGACCGTTCATGTTCTGAAGCTTTGTCAACGTCAGATCGCACAGTAGTCCAAAAAGTGTACATCCCAAATATCATGAGTCCCGCAATTACTACATTAACGATGAGCTGAGCATAGAATGATAGTACATTGGGAAGGTTTGGGTGAGATTCAATATAACTAAAAAAAGAAGCGATTAACCCTGGTTGTAGAAATGGCGCATGAACCTTAGGATTCTTATCTTTTTTCTTTGGCTTGAAATCCCCTTCAGAATCCGATTCAGATACGCGAAGTAAGGAATAGTCTCGTTCCATGCGTTTTCTTTTGCGCATTTTCTGAATAATCGTGTTGCCAAACTTCCCTCTTCTTTGCTCTACCCGACTGGGACTTGTTCCTAAGAATTCTGTCCCATATTTCCCAAAAATCGGTTGTTTGATAGTCCCAGTACTCTTGAAAGCTGGTAAGTTTGAAGAAAATTTCTGTTGCTCAGGAGTATCATCCAGGTCACCCTGCTCTCCTGGTGAGGATTCGATACCAGAAGTCTCTGAGTGTAATTCTGGTTCAAAAGTTTTTCGAGGAGTTGTAAAAGAAGGGTTCCTAAATTTGGGTATCGGAGGAGCTGATGGGTTAATAAAGGAGTTGTTGGACTTAAAGTCGAAACCTATAGTTTTATGGTCATGAGACATTCAATTGTATTTTTGGGATACTCACCTTTATGCCCAGCCTTAGACTGGGGAAAGGGCGATTTCGGGTCGGTCGGAGCATGAGTCTGCCACTCAAAGTCCATTGGACTCTCGTGCGATCTTTTTTGAGTTTGATTGTGGAGGAACATATTGTGTGTGTTCATGAAGCCTACGCCAGACTGATTCTGTGGTTCAAGCTGACAAGATAATTCAAAAGTAAACATGTAGGGATTATGCATGCCTGGGGTTGCAAGGTTTCAGATCAACTAGTGCCGCGTTAGCGTTACGCCCCCACTAGATTAGGACCGCGACCACTGCGGCACCTATATAACATAAATCCAACCTTACTCATGTCGGACCCAGAACCAAGAACCATCTCTCCCGTCCCAGAAAACAGAAGTCAGCCCTATGACAACACCTCAGCGTTGAATGAAAAGTCTGACGACGATAATGATGTGGATGACGACCCTTCTGATAATGAGTCCGAACTATCAGAAGTCGATGAAGCTGAGTTTGCGGAGTTCGATCCTACCACTGTTGCTTTAGATGATAGACCGCTCGTTGATATTGATGAAGACATTGCAAGGACGCTTAAGGCCAGCAAGCGAAAGCGTTCTGACTTAGACGGTAAAAAACCTAAGGAAGCAAAGCGAGAAAGAAAAAACAGATCACGTAGAGAGAATGCCGAAGATGGTGACGACAATTTTAATGAAAGAAGAACTAAAAAATCTCGAAGTAGTAGATCTGATGGAGCTCGACAAGATAGGGAAAAAGGAAGGGAACGGAAACTTGCAATCCCTGAGAATGAAGAGAATCTTACTCCAGATGAGCGTAGGAGGCGGGCTTTAGATAAGGCAATGGATGCGGCGTTGAAAAACCCAAATAAAAGGAGGCGAAAAAAAGACGAAGTCGTAAGTTATCGAGTAAGAGCTGAGTAGTTCACACTGATACGCGCATAGGATCTTGAAGAAGCCTTCGATGACGAAATTGCTGCGCTTAAGTTGCGGATGGAGCAAGCTTGTGAAGCAGATAATTCTGCGCGGGAGCGAGGCCAACCTGCCATTCATAAGCTCAAGATGCTCGCTGAAGTTGTAGCACTCTTAAACCGTAACACAGTTCAGCACTCAATAGTCGATCCAGACACCAATTTTTTACAGTCTGTCAAATTTTTTCTAGAGCCTCTTAATGATGGTAGTCTTCCAGCCTACAATATCCAGCGAGACTTATTCTCAGCTCTAACCAAATTACCGATCGAAAAGGAAGCCCTTCTAAGCAGCGGTATTGGGAAAGTTATACTCTATTATACCAAAAGCAAGAAACCTGAGATTGAAATAAAAAGAGTTGCTGAACGGCTTCTTGGAGAGTGGTCAAGACCAATTTTGAAACGCAGTGATGACTACAGAAAGCGACAGATTATGACCAAGGAATTCGATCATCAGTATTTCACCTTCGTTGTCCCATCCCAGTAACTAATGGCTATTTTAGGGCCGCACAACTTGCACTCCGTCCTTCTGGAAGCCAAGGATCCCAAATGCCGTCCCAACGTATTCAACTGACCCAGCGAGAAATCGAGCGCGAACGCATACTCGCCCAGCCCCTTCGTAACAATCGGGCTAGAATAGAAAGATCTAACTCTAGCTATACCGTGGCGCCTAAGAGTACGTTTGATCCAACTAGGGGTCTAGATCCATCATCACGGCCTATTGGTGCTGGAGGAGTAGAAGCGTTTCGGAAGATGACTGCTAAGCAAGGAAGGAAGCGTTCATAAATTGAGTCTCACAATAATTATCCTTCAGGACTGAATTTCTATGTATTGTATAAATAAGCCGATATCTTATTAGGCCCTATTTCCCATGCTACGAGCAAGAGTCACACTAATTTAGCAGGGCAGATTCGAGACGTTTTATACAATTATTGACTCTTGTCAAAGATTATGTGGTCTTTCTATCACAGTTTAGCCCTTAATTAATACACTCGCTTCGGAAACAAGGAGTCCTTGAATACTTGTAGACAAACACAACACACCAGGGACAAAAAATGAACAGAAATAGGAAGCGTCATTGGTCTCGCCTTCCAAATCAAATCATCTTTAGATTCTCTGTGCGAAATTCTAGGCTGAGTATTCGTTAACTGACCCCTCAATGAGAGTTCTATCTTTTCTTTACCTACAACCTCTTGCTTTGCGTCAGCGAAGCCTCGGCTCCCTCCCATCACACATATACACATGCCTTTGCTTTTAAATTCATCATGCCCAGATCGACTTGTACCGACTGAAATAATTCCCTCCAATTGAGCCTTCTCTGGTGAGAAAGCTACCCTCGGTACAAGGCGGTCTCTTAATATCGTCGTATATATATTAGCGTGCTTCGAAATTAGCGCTATCATTCTTTGAGGACCTTCATCACGGTTGAGGCCCCACAAGATAATGTCAATACCCAAAATCCAACATTTAAATGAAATTCATCACCCCTGAACAACTGGACCAACTCACTCCACCCGTTTGTTAAAAACACGAAGTCTAACACTTTAGGCGACCCGATTCTGATGCCTCAGAGCTCTGGTTACTCTTAAAACGCGGCAATCGCCCGCCAGAAGTCTTCGAGCTTTTCTATTATCTAGTTTTGCCCTTTTTTTTATACTATTGTCCTCAATAATCCTAAAACTCCATGACTAAGTGAGTGCTCTCTGTGTGTAGGTCAGGAATAATTATGCAAGTCGTGTATCCCCTCCTACGCCTCCTACATGGCTCCCCTGGAGCAGCAAAAACTTCCACAAGTCTTCACTCGATCATAGATATTAAGGTGCTCTCTGCCTTTCATTATCTCCACCCTCTAGCCAACGAAATAATTGCTATGCGTGAGCGCATGGTAGCTGGTTAAATCGGCATAAACCACTGAGTACGAGGCTCTCATGAAAAAAAAAGTCTCTCATAGTACTGACATCAGGGTTAGATCCAAAGACATAAAAGTTTTGCAATTTCTAACAGTCCTACTTTTCCTTTATTCGGGTATTTTCTCATCTCATCCGAGCGTCTTTTTACTTACCGAGGCATTACTCAATTGCATTCCTTAGCATTTTTTGTTCTAATTATTTTTTTAATTCTTCATTTTAACAACTCTTCTATCGTTCTACCAAATTTCATCATTGAAACCTGGAAAGCCTATCTAGGCCGCGGCATTGCCTCATCACAGCAGTACCCCCAACCTTGGTGGCTGAATTTGCATACAATAGCTGGATGACGTAACGCCAATGCTTCTCTCTTTGCCAAATAATATAGTGGCTTTGGTGGCGAGATATCATAATTCATGGGTGGCAATTCTCCCCAGTTAAATTTTCTGTGACCGTGGTCGAGGTACAGTCGCATTCAAGGCCGCTATTAGGATCAGACCTTCACAGTTCGCAGCAGATGCGGCAAGATTAATTTACTCTAGTATCTTAGGATTTAATTCTGACGTCTATATTTTAGTATACTTCATCAGTATAACGGCTAGTGAGCCGGTAATTATTCGGTGTCACATGATGTTAATCACGTGCGGAAGATATCTTCGAAACTCAATATTCTTTCATGGATCAAACGGGATGTCGCTAGGAATTTCTAGTAACTAGCATTAAGACTGCGAACCAGACTCAGGGGATAATGCTAGAAACTTGTTATTGACGAGAAGAAAATTCGAGATAGAATAGTAAGTGTATAAATAGTTGATGCAGGACACGTGTAGATAGCCACGGAGATTAAATAAAATACCTGTTGAGAAATAAGTCTAGTGCATTGCAATTCCAGGATCCTCATGACCATTATTATGGGTCTGAGTTGTCATCATTAGCCAGGAATTAGGAGAACCGGAGAGCAAGATACCCTGTACAATTAGCTTGTTTATCACGTGGTTATTGGGCTGTTTCGTTGGCGCGCACGGACCCGCACTCAAGATGTAAATCTCGAGTGTTGGATCCGTTTTCATGGATAATTATTTTATAGACCTCCAACGAGTTGATTTCATAAACAAGTCTACCTTCCATGTTTTATATTAGAACTCCTTAAAGTGATCATTACACAATATAAGGACTAAGGTTTTAACAATACCTTCATATACCTGATTGCTCCAGCATCGACACTCGAACCGAGACAATGAGGTTTTAAGATGGATATAACGAAACTGCAAGACGAGATTTACTGGAAAAGATCTTCAGAAATTTTCGATATGAAGAAGATTAGCTGTTTTTCACATGCCAATGTCAGGCAGGTTTAAGCCTTTCTACAGCTCGTGTTGTGGTCGTAGATTATTGATTTGGAGATTATTCTCAACACCTGTCAATCGTGTCCCCTACGAACCTCCAGCTCTTACTGTAGAACTTGCAGAATCGAGATTATGTAACACCATCCTCACTTCTATGAGGATACCTAATCGCTTTCGCGGTCTATATCGTCCTTATCTCTCTGCACAACCTCCTATCTGTTGAAAAAAGGTGTACGGAGATGAATCGAGTAATAATTCCTTGCAGAAATTGATGAAAGATTTGCTTGGAGGGCAGAACCCGAAAATCTGTACCCGATTTCCTCCACGAATCTGGGGGTAAAATATTATCCCTGAGCCAAATACGTTCAAATTTTGAATTCGGAGCAAGCTGGAACATGACGTGATGGTTCAAGAAATCCCATCATGTCAATCTTTCACTCCCAATGACAACAGCTCCAACCAAAGCCTTATCATATCTTCAAGTACGACCAAGTACATCCTCATTCCAATGACCACACCTCTCGTCGACTTTCTCTGGATCAGCTGGCCACTAAATATACGCCTGAAACAATACACATGCCTGCAGGAGGACAAAAATCGCAGCTTATAAGCTGAAGAGGCAGTTCAATGGCATGGTAATTAGAGAGGTCTAAACAAATTTACAAGATGATGCAGAGGAAGGATATAACTTCGAAGGGCATGAGCTTCCGAATTCTGGCAAGGAGTTTTTCGAATTGGGCTTTGTGCGCGCCAAGACTTCGCTTGCGAGAGTGCAACTGACACTATAAACTCAAGCCAACGATGGAAGGTGTAGCGGTCCGCCTCCTGGTGGTGTTCTCTGGTACAGTTTGAGTAGCCTGGGCACCTACTCCACTTGGGAAGGAGATATCTCAGACCATATTTCGCCCGGAGAAAAGTTGAAAGATGATGGAGGCAGTCTGGATAACTCAGGGCTTTTAAGACGTTCCCCTGGGTGGGTATTCACGGATGAGGGTTGACTTGGGGTGAAGAAAAAGCCGCCATAACTTCGTAGTGGTACTTGCAAATGAAATCCGAGGCATGAGTGCTCTTCCTTTACGATGAATCATCTGTTCTGTACTTTTCTTTGATATTATGTCATAGCTAGATAGCTGCATACGCAATTAAAATCTGATGCAAAAAGAATTTCATTGCGGCGTTTGATTGATTTATCGTCTTCTATCTTCCTGCAAAAGTATGGGGAAAACTTTTATATGACTATGGACTCGCGGGGAATCGAACCCCGGACCACTCCCATCTACGATGGTGCTAAGGGAGTATTATACCACTAAACCACGAGCCCTTGAGCTTTAGAACTAAATTGATAATTAATATTTGTTGATTTGCAAAAATTTCAACGAATGCTAAAACGGTAGCAAGGAATACTGCCACCGAGTAAGAACGCTCCAAATAATCCGCAGCCTCGGCTTGATGAGGCATAGACATCATGGCTAAATGAGGTGCGCACATTAATCTGCGTTTCGCTTCTTTGTAACATTAAAGGCCGACTTTATCCAATCCACTATCTCCGTATCGGTTGCTGGGTACGCTCCGGAAACTCATCGTATGGCTTTTCCTCGATGATCAAGGATTTGTGATAAGAAGAGCTCCGACTCTATAATCTGACCTGTTGTTAACTTTTTGATAGTGGTGATAGGGAATGTGTTGAGAGGTGAAGACGATACAGAGCGCGAATGTGATTAGGAATTCTCCTAGAAGAGTGCTACTAGGTGTTGGTTCCGTCCCGGATTTACTGCAATGCTCGTATACTTAGACGACGAAAGCATAACTCGGTAGCCAAAGCCTGTGAAATTTTCGTCTGGCAGGTATTGCGGACACGTTCGATCGTCAAATTTAAATGTGTATACCTTGTTGTGGTGTGTGCGATTTAATGCGGAGAATTAGTATCTCTAGTGTTAAATTGTTCAACGATCATTAAATCGAGGCGCTGCCGGCAAAGTCGAATTCTTCACCTTCCAGTGGTTCCGGTGTAGTTGCTCAGTATGCTCTGCATATCTGGGATAGCCAAGATGAATCGCATTCTTCGCAACGGTAGCCTGCTAAGCGTGGCCCAGTCGATTTTGATTGACAAATATGCTAGGTTACGTCCCCTGCACGATAGATCGAAAGTTTAAGTTTGGGTCTCTTCTATTCAGTCTTCTAACATCTTCCCGATTAAGTTATACTGGGTGGACTTTACGACTCACCAACAACCCTCCAAAATCAAAGGTAAAATTCCTTTCGCTTTCAACCTTACTAAGATTATGTGCAGAACTGGGCAATTGCTCGGCCTCATTTTAGACAAGCACCTCGACCGCGACATCAACATTCTCAACCTTTCGACACATTCCAAGGACGGCGCGAACGAAGAAGCCTCACTCAGACAACGAACAATTTACGACAAAAGCTGGGGCACCGATGCCTCAGTTTTGAGCTCTCGATTTCGGAATTTCAGCCCTCTCAAATGGGGGTTGAGCGCAATGCAGGGGAGAATTTGGGAAGAACGATATGTGAT